AATCTTATTCTCGATCATAACCCCACCTAAAAACACGTTAAAATTATGCAGCAGCAGGATTCCAGTCAAACCAGTGAGTTTGGCGGTTTTGAAACATCATCTTGTATTGAAAAAAAAAAATTTTCATTTTGCTGACACGCATGGCTACGGCGACGCGCGCGCATACCAGAAACCGGAGACTTTTTTTTTTGGCCTTACTGTACGTAGCAGAAAATTCTGTGCTTACAAAACTTTAGCATATTTCATGGGTTTACAAATGTTTAGTGAGGAATTTGTACATGTACCTAAGGACTTCGTGCTGACAGGGACATTAACACAAAAAATGTTTACTTGTGCTAAAAAGCACAAATTGGTGATCGTTAGGCCAAAAAAAAAAAAAGTTTTGCTTCCGGTTACCCTACCTACCCTATTTTGACAGCCCCTACCCTAATTTTCTTCTTTTTGGGGGGGGGGGGAATGAGGGAAAACCTGAAAACCATGAATTACTACTTTTACCATTTACTACATGTACACGCAGACATCTCCATATTGACAAAGTGAATTGTCAAAAAAAAAAAAAATACCTACCTACCTACCCTATTTTCAAATGCCATGTAATCGGAAGCAGAAATATATTTTTTGGCCTTAGCGTGGAGTTCTGTTTCAAGCAAAAAAATTGAAATTTCTTTGCATTAATGTTAAACTAAAGTAGACAAAAATATCTAAATTCTGATAATACACTTTCAATTCCTAGATAGCGATACATATCTTGATTTTATATTGAATAAATACCTAGCGTACCGTATTTTGACTGGAAACGAAATTGATTTCTCAACACAGAGTGACAAACGAGGTATACCAATGTACATGTACATTAACACCCCATCTGCATGCAACGAGAAAATAAGCTCTAATCCACATACAATACCGAACCTCTACGACAAAATTGTCTTTTCAAAATGAAAATCGAAATATTTTTCTGGCAGAACAATGCATCAATCTTTCAGGGTCGGGCGGCCACAGACAGCCGATGGACCAATCAACTCTCTGGAGGACGTGGCTTATTGATTTAAGTGCCATTAAAACCCCTTCCAGTATATAATCATATTGTCTGGAGAATTCCAGGGCCTATTCAGAAGGAAAGACATTAACATGTCTGAATCTAATTCATTCTGTACCGAAACAGAAGACCATCGTCCATGTATACTTTGTTTGTACAATGAATGGGGACATCGCTGACATGATTAACCCAAACCAACCTCAATTCTCCAAAATCCTCCCGGCGGTTTTGGAGGATTGAGGATGAATGGTGTTTGAGAAGGATTGTGGAGGATTGAGGATGAACGGTGTTTGAGAAGGATTTTGGAGGATTGAGGATGAATGGTGTTTGAGAAGGATTTTGGAGGATTGAGGATGAATGGTGTTTGAAAAGGATTTTGGAGGATTGAGGATGAACGGTGTTTGAGAAGGATTTTGGAGGATTGAGGATGAATGGTGTTTGAGAAGGATTTTGGAGGATTGAGGATGAATGGTGTTTGAAGAGGAGGTGGATTTTGGAGGATTGAGGATGAATGCATTTTTAAAGGCAGGACTGTCTGACGATTCTGAAGGACATTAAGGAGATGGGTACCCTTCATTTGAACATTAGTGCAATTTTTTTGTGAGGATTTTTGAGGTTTGAGGATTGTTCCTAGCTAAGGCCTAGGGGGTTAGGGTTAAATGACAATCATACTGGACAAACACAAACATACCGGTAAATTTGTGAGTGCTTTAGGGGTGTGCATTGACGGGTACTACGGGAACCCGCTACCCTGATTAAAAATAACACGGGTACCGGTACCCGTTAAAGAACCCAACCCAAAAATTCAAATCTTGGAAGTTGCTGTTCAGATTGCGGGTAAAGGTCCGCACGATGATTACTACCACATCGGTGCGTCAATGCAACAAGATACAAGTGTGTACAGTAAGCTTTAGCTTCAATGTGCAAACTGCATCTTACACAATGTTTTTCCATGTAGCCTGGCTTTCATTTTGAGATTATATGTTCCCAACAATGACATTTGGAACCTTTCTTTTTCAGTGTCTGAGAAGTTATTAAGTAATTTGTAAAGTTGGTGTCCGGTACCCGATTCCATAATCTGGAACCGGTTCCTGACATCAACGGTCGGGTACTCGGTTCACGTGCACAGTCCTACTTGAAGAACTCAATTATGAGGGAAAGACGGATCCAGCAGCCACATTACAGAGATTTGCTTAAAGGTAGAGTAGATCAGAGATTCTGCTTAAAGGTAGAGTAGATCATTTGTCATTCATGTAATTTGTGCATTACATTTTCGTGGGAAGCAACAAAGGTGCTCGAAATCTAACTAACCTGATAAAGTTTTAGCTCTGTGAATGCTGAGAAAACAATATTCTAGGACCTCGATTTCAAATCAAAATTTGCCGAGTCATGCTTTGAAATCGGCATCCGGGACACACTCATCCGGGACACGTGATATCGCGCACTGAACCGACGAATAATAGCAACCAGGCACGCGTGTGCATCGTGTCGACGCTTGCGCGTACCCATTCACGGATTCACCGAATTACAAACCAACTCCTAACGGAAATTTCCAAAACTGCGTCACGTGACACATCTTTGGAAATTTTGCCTTCTTACTAGTTTTAGTGTTTTCTTTAAAAAGACAGCATGCCAGAAAGAAAAGCGTCACAGGGAGTTTATTGCCATCCCAATCTCTGAACCAAGTAAGCTTTTCAACAATATTTTTTACATTACCTTTAAGCAAAGTTTCAGCTAGGCAGAATCATCAAATTTCAAAGTTGATTTGATACTTTGTAGAATTAAAGCTATAGTCCATCATTTGTAATTAGTGCATTTTGTTCGTTTGAAGCAACAAAAGTGTTCAAAATCTAATGAAGGATACTGAACAACTTACTTGATGAAGTTTCAGCTCAGCTTCAGCTTCATATTCCGAGAAAAACAGCATTCTAGGATCTCAATTTAAAATCAAAAGTTGCTAAATCATGTTTCGAATTGTTTTGAACTGCAGCTTTGCGCGATGTTGCGCACTGATCCAATGAATTATAGCAACCGCGCGCGCCTGTGCGTCGTTCCAATGCTTGTGCGCGCTGCGCCGAATAACAAAACGAACAACTAATTTAAATTTTCCTACGGTGCTTCTTAAGAAGCACCGTTGGAAATGCCTTCTTTCGTTGATTTCTTCAAAATGAGAGCTTGCCAGAAAGGATAATTTCACAGGGAGTTTAGTCCCCTTACTATCTTTCAACCAGTATGTTTTTCAACAATAATTACGTCGGTTACTTTTTTGGATAGCTGCAAATGATGGACTCTGGCTTTAAAGAGCTTTCAAAATGCAATTAAACAAATGGTCTCCTAACTTCACAGGGCAAGCAGTTCTGACATTATTGCAATTTTAAAGTTGCTTTTTTTGCCTTAAAATGATGCTCGATTTGGCTGAAATAAATGTTACCTCGTCAGTTGATTATGTGTACAAACATATGGGCAATTTACACACAAATAACGGCATCGCTGTTTTGGGGAATCCACAACTTTTTTTGGCAATGTGATTTAATAACAAACCAAACTTTCTCATGTCAACTACACCCTGCATTTCTCTTTTATTGATGTTTAGAGCTAAGCAAAAGTATCCCTGTATGTGATACTCCATGTCAAACCTTATCAAAAAAGGCGGTTACACAAAATTAGGTCAATTTGGGCATGAAAATAGCGCCACCAATGTCCGTGGCGGTGGTTCAACTTCAACCTATTTCAGCCCCTATTTGAATCTACATGATATGCAGTCCCCTTTGTTCTTCCCCGAGTTTATTTCTAACATGTTCATAGTATTTTGTAACAAAATTTGAAATGTTTCTCAGTCCCAGATTCATGTCTTTTCAACATGATGTTAACGAAAGGGGATTCTTTTGGTCAGGAAACAGTTATACGTGCACCCGTAGTTGTACCGAAAATACCTCTTTTATCTGGTTTGACTTGATCATATTCTCATTTTGAGTGCTAGATCCTTTGCTGCATAAAGGATAAATCTGGCGAGTTTTTGCTTTTAACGAAAATGGAAAATATCAGCCAAAAACGAAAAAGTGAAAACCACGCATCTAAGACCAGGGAAGTAATTCCAGCTCTACTGGCATGACTAGCGAATCACGAGCCTGGTGAGCTGAATATATCAAGCTACATAGTAGTACTTCTAGAGGGTCGCACTAAAAAGCGTCAACACAGCGTCAACACATGACAGAAGCGTCAACACACCGTCAACACATCCAAAACACATTCTGAATTAACAAAAATGGTTTATAATTGTAAAGCATAGAATAAAAGAGAATTTCCATTGGTTTAAGTTTCCATTTCGTTGTTAAAAATATAGTAATTTTCACGCGAAAAAATGACCTTTCACTTGCACGGCCGTTGTCCGCCATCTTGACTTCGCACAAGGCTTGGACTACACCATAGCTCCGAGCGAACCAAAAATCATCGCTCGATCATATGCGTGCACGTTTCAAGTGTTCGGTTGGCTCAGTGCGGAAAGGGCATATTTTTCATCATTTTGGCCTAAAAACTGACAGAATCCACCTATGTTAGTTGTGCCCAAGATACGTGAGTATGTCAAGAGGTAAAATACGGAGAATAGGGGCAAACTGTGCAGCGGTTCTGTGTGAAATGTCTGCATTTTGATGGACGTTTTTGTACTTTATTAGTGTTTTGTGCTGCAGACAATTTTGCGGGCTTCTACATCTATGAGGCTCCGCTCACGCGGAGCCTCATAGTTCTAGGAGTAGACGCTGTGTTGACGCTTTTAGTATGACCGCTTCTAGAAGGGTAATCAGCATTTTGTGCACAGACTACAACAAACTGACAGTTGTCATGGTTGTATGTTAGTTAACGCATGGACTACTGGCATGGTCGACTGGGGACATGGTTGTGCTGGCTTGCAAACGTTAATACACACTTCAATAGCCCTACACTGTACACAGACTGAACTTACCGAGGAAAAAGAATTGGTTAAAATTGCCGCATGATCGTGCAACAGTCCCCTGCAAAGTAGACACTGAAGTCACAAGGCATCAACTCCATCCAAAGTCCTTATTGTAAATGTAAGGGCATTTACAGTTTATCTACGAATTGTTCCGGAAAAAAGATTATCTTGATTCTTATTCGTACTGCATTCCGTGTGGGGAAACTTGTGCCAGCGCGCGTGTTGTGTGCACACGTATGCTGCGATAACACGATGTTGTGTACACTACGTCAATGCAATGTCAATGGAGAAAATGAACCATTGAATTATTTGCATGTTTCCATGGTATTGCCACAGTAACTTCAAGTGGTTGAACTTGTCCTCCGAGCTCCCAGCACGAAAGGAAAAGAAGGTAAATTCATGAACGTGATGCTGTAACATTGGTGACCAACATACACTGTAATGAGTTTAAATTTGTCTCACATTCAAGGTAGAAACCGTGATTAAAGCGACTTGTTCTCGCAAGATGTATCTCTAAAATCGCGTTCTTAGATTTAATTGGTTTCCGGACAGTGCACTCATACACGCACGGTGGCATGAAGGAACGGGTACCAGCATACACATTTCAAGAGAGGGCGCTATGCACATTTACGGATCGTCACTGTGTCTACTTCAAGTTCAAGGGGAATAAGTGAAGTGACAAAGAAGTATTTTTGATTGATTTTCTATTGCAAATATTTGGTATTGTGTGAGATTATGCTTGGCATGAGGACTCCAAATCTTATTCCTTTATATTGTAACCCTTTGCGAATTGCGAGTTGGTTTTTGGCAGACGGGGCCGTCGTTAGAGGGGGTGTCACATTTCCCTCAGGGTACGGGTGAAACCACCTGCAAAGTTCCTGCGCGCGAGTTTTGTAATCCCCACAGCAGGTAATTTTGAATAAGAGGTCCTTGCGGCCTACTTGGGACAGATTGTCAAAATATTTTTGGAGATCAAGCATTTGTGACTTGTGGCTTCCAATGGACCGATCCAGTATGCTCCGCCCAGTGCGCACGTGGGCAAATTAACACGTGCTCCTCTCCAATGCCACGCTGCATTTTCCTTCCGCGCGCATCATACGCGCGTGCACGCATGTCGGACTTTAGTGCACGCACGTACGTCGGACATAAATCACGGCTGTGATTGGTCAGAACACCATGGGGCGGTGCTTACTGGATCGGTCCATTATGCTGTCTTAAAATTCACCCTTCTGCATCAAACTTCACTTTCCAAACTAAGGACCAGGCAATGTATAGACCTAGTTCACTCGAATTTCGATTGAAGTGATTTTTTTTTTCAAAGTATTTCAATCCAAAATTGGGGTGATTTTCCTACTTAAATCGACTGATCCAAAATGTCACTCTTCGTAAATTCAGTGAAGTGCTTTCGCAAAATCAAAAGTTACACGTTCCATTTCTAGTAGAGATCCCTGAAAACGAGGCGCTTGTTGAGCATGATACAAAAATATTAAGGTATTGCAATGAACAGTAACTTGTTGAAATGTGGTGGAGAAACTGGTGGCATCAAAGTTTACGCGTCCCGAGCCCATCTGGAATAGCACGCTACCCGCCCGCCGCCCAGCCTTTTTTAATAGCGCCCTCTTCCGGTAGAATGAATTATATTTATTTTTACTGTAGGGTGCATACTTAATCGACGCTCATAGACCTCAGTGATACTTACGCGTAATTCCAAAAATAAGTAAAAAATACTCACAACTTTTCAAGGTATTTGGGACACCCATCAAATTAAAGCTTATTTCATCATCTTTCATTTTATGTTAAATTTTCGGGTGGTAATTTAATACTTATGGGAGTAAATTCAATCCAAAGATGATCCCCCTTAAACGTCGTCCTGTGCCTATCGCAATTTTGAAAAATGATGCCTGCGCTCCCGTTGCAAAACAGAGCAATTTCCGGGCCCAATTTCATCCGAATTTCACAGAAATACGAGCTCGAACTCCTGGGCACGGCTTCCAACCATATTATTCATAAACCCTCAAGTTCATGGTCCACAAAATGCTCTAATAGCAAAGAATTTGAGGGCATATAAATCGTGATTGGGCCTGCGTAGGCAATTCTGGGCCTACTTTAGGTCTGCACCCTGTAGCCGATCGGATAAATGTCACCAAGAGCACGCCCCCTATCGGCGATTATTATTCAGGTTGCCTTTTTTCAGAAGGGTGGTTAAGATTTTACTTCTTTAGTTGTCTCTCCCTTACGCTTCTCCCACAAAGTCTCGGACTGCAAAAGCAAACAGCAGGCCCACTTGTAACTTACCGAACAGGGAAAAGTGGGGCGGGTAGGGGAAATATTTGGGGGAATTGTGCCTTTGATGATACATGCACTGGTATTTGGCTTAAGAAAGGTATTTGGCTTAATAGGGCCATCGCAGATTTGTCCTTTGAAAAAAATATAGGTAGAATAACAAGCAATTTTCAAAATTTTCAAAATGGCTGCCATTGCTTCTTTATTCTACCTATATTTGTTTTCAAAGGACAAATCTGCGATGGCCCTATAGCCAAATATCTTTCTCATGCCATACTCTGACTGTGTGCTGAATGCTATGCTTTTGTCATCAAAGGCACAATCCCGTCAACTACCTGCCGTACTACATAGAAGGCAAAATCTGCTTAAAGTTTTGCTGTCCGACTGTAAAAGGGGCACTATGGAATCTGGACATCACATATAGGCCCTATTACAAGTCCAGACTGCAGGGCAATATAAAACCACCATTAATTTCTTTATCTCAATTACAAAATTAACACAAATACAATTCGATTCGATTTTTTTTTCAATTCAAGTTAGTCGCCCTTTATTATTATATCGGCATCCATTTTGTCTTTTCCAGCTCTCCATATTACAAGGGTCCAGAACAAAATGTGCACTCCCCAAACAATTATGTACACAGAGCTTCATGTGACCTCGGTCAAACTATGAGGGCGGTGTTTAACGCTTCCACTAGTCTTAACTCTTTTTTTTAGTAAGATGACAACCATTAAATTTCGTAAACAAAGAACGAATATATCTCGTAGTAGTGAAAAATATAGGTTTGACCTCGCCCTCTCGCCCGATCAGAAACCCCACAACCACCGCCTAATGTTACGTTACAAATTAACGACGTGAAAATACCAGAATTTTTTCAGTGAATAATCGGAATATGCCGCCAATATGCGAATTCACCTTTGACATAATACACTGGGCGGTTGAATTTACATCACAAAAAGACGGTGGTTGAGTCCTTCGTTCTGATTGGCTGAAAGTATTGTTTACAAGCAAACAACTTCAAGCAGAGGCAAATTGACTATATATACTTAGAAAAAAAATCAGTGTGTTCCCACACTTTTCATTGCAATAGTATAGGCAACGCAACACGAACAGGCTTCAAATATGCCTTATAATGATGAATAGGTAATAATAATTATACAAATGTCAATTTGTACTGGAAGATTTGGTTCAACCGAACTCTCGCTCTCGGTCGCATATTCACGCAAAGTCTCACATATTCACACGCGAGTTTATCACCGTATTACACCGCATTCTCTATTTTTCTGTTTGTTTACAATATTTAAATCGAGGTAAAACAACATCACGGCTTGGATGATCGGGTATAAAAATGACTACTTTCTGTTCGCCGTGGAAATCGAACTATAAGCTAATTTCACATCGGCTTCAGCGCCGATCTAGGTCTAAAAATACAAGCGACACTAGGTATATAAATATTTCACAACACCATCTCAAACGAGGCGTAATTATGTCCCTACCAATCCATGCTACAAGTTAGTGGTGGCGTTATGATTGCGCTCACCAACATTACGGAAATATGTGGATATGTATAAAATAAAGACCACTTACATACGATTTTCGGCTATGACATTAATTTTACCACATAGCCCGATGACAATCTAATCATTGTTCATTGCAAACTAATATAATAATAGTGCTTTAAAAGAGAGAACCGATATCCTTAAGTTCTGCTGTAGCTCGGAAATCATAACTTTTAAACGGTGCTTAATACTGGTTCAATCCACACACAGGTGAAAGAAAGTTTCAAAAAAGAAATCATCAAGTGCCAAAAATCACTACAAAGCACTGATTGATATTGATACCTAAACTAATCAAAAACGAAAATATACCGCCAAAATATACTGAATAACGTCATAGGTCAGTTGTTAGTTATGTTTATGTATCAAAATTAATGAGTTGACATCCAAGGTCCAACAACCATGTTTACGAATGTGTTTTGTGCGCAAAGGCGGAAACCAGACTACAAAATGCATTAACATCTTATGAATTATTCATAACATTCAAACAGTTATTTATCAATCACCGTACGAGACTAACAAAAATACATGCGCACCACACCTAATTCTTGGCAATACAAAAACCGAATTATCGTACAGACATGTAGGCAAAGTGAATCACATAATATGTTTACGATTTTTGTTGTTGCAATAAGCCCTCATCATGTATACAATGTATTACAAAACAAATTTAAATAATACAAAGTTAGAAACTGACATTTTCCCTAAGTCGCAGCGAACCAGTTCGGCGACATCTAATGTTGAAAGATCACTTAACTTAATTGCATTATAAAAAGTGTCTCATGTTTTTCGATATTTACAAGGAGTGGCTGAGTCACGTTTTCTACCACGGTCCCACTCTGCCAAATCCCAAGATTCCTTGCAGTCATTCAAGTAAGACAACAGACCTATGGTACTGTGTCACTCAATTCGCAGACTTTACCCAAACCATACACATCGTTTGCACAAATCTTTTCTTCTGTGATAACATTCTGCCTTTCAAATGTACAGCAATCACTATAGACCCAAACATCACCACTAGATGACAATACCTCTGTAACAAAAGCCATGTTGAGCTTCCTACCTACCAAACACAATCATCATCAACAAAGCATGGTCTCCCAGAACCATTCTATTCATCTGTGCAAATACAGTCTTTTTGTACAATGTTCTCTTGGTTTGATTTGTTTTTCTGTTTTGTTTTGGTTTTTTAAGTCCAGTGCCTTTTTACCACCAAAGCATCTCGCACTCTTGGAAGTTTTCCCTTGGCATCCTGGGAACTCCAAGTTATGCGTCAATTGGTCCCAGCGAGTCGCCAGTTTATTGCCATAAACTTCATAAACTGCCAGAATTTCCTCTGCAGTGAGCTGTGCCTCGGACCCCTCTTCATACCGCGAGGTAGTCCTGCTTCAAAGCGGGATAGCAGTTGTCGGCTAGGGCCCGTTCTTTGCTGTTCTCCACCAGCCCGGCGCCTTTCTCAACGTGCGCAGCGTAGTTCCTCTGGCTGTGCAGGTCCAGGCCAGGGTAGGGGGCTCGGGTGTTGCGTCGCGCCTGTCGCCGGGCCTGGCGTTCCCTCATCATCTCCTGCAGGTGTGCCATCTTGCTGCGAGTGTGGTTGTTCTCCTGCATGATGAACTGTTTCTTTTCTGTTTCAGGGAAGGAACAGAATTTCACGGTCAAACAAATCTAAAATTCCTTTACTTTTTCTGAAAATATTTGATTTTGTGTTTTTAATATTTTATGAAAATGTGTTTATAAACAGCTTCTATGATTGTTATTCCCCACTGTCTCGTACTTTTCAATGTCTTCACTAATTTGTCCATTTTGTCGGGATAATGCCCGAAAGGCAAATACATGTACCTCTCACAATTGATGAGAGTATTAAGTTCATTCCTAAAGGTTCAAAGGGAAAGATAATGCAATATTTGTGACGTGACAGGCTAGAGGAAAGAGTTTTGGCTCAAAACATACCAGGCGGGGTTTGCGGTCTGGTCGGGACACTTCCGCCTGCAGCTGCTGGAGCAGCATGGTTGGCTGTTGTTCTTTGGGCATGGTGAGCCTGGGCACAGGACGCCCTCTGCCTGCGCTGCTGATGGACGTGCTGGCGGTAGAGCGGAGCAGCATGAAGTAGATCGCCTAGGATGTGAGCAATGGTACTGATGTCTTTCTTAGGCCTGCCCTGTCCATCTTGAACTGCCGCACTCAGAATACCTGCCAAAAAAGATAAAGGCTCAGGTTTAACGATTTCATCCTCAACTTTAACACACACAAAAATCCAGCAATCGCCCTTAAGTGATGTCAAATTCCAAGGTTCTGATTAAGTTGCTTGCAGTGAGTCCATCACAAGTCATGAAGTCCCATGTTAATTTCACAGGCCATCCAAAAGGCATTCTTTGTAACTATCCTTCCACCGTTACGCATGACTAGACTTCCGAATTGACTTGCGACGTGGCTCTGAAAGGACTTGTGATGAACTTGTGATAGACTGGACAACACTGTTCACTTGCTAGAAAGAGAAAACAGCATTTAACCACATGTATGCCAATGAAAGTCATTTTTTTAGATTGTTCAGGATGCATCTTGATCATCTCAAATCAAGTGGGAAGGTTCTGCACCGAAGTTTAACTGAAACTTGCAACAAACAAAATTGATTTAGGGGGATGGATTCCTCAATTCCCCGTGTAACAGTAATGGCAACAGAGAAAATGAGACACCTTCGTTTATACTGCAGCAAGAAGGACCCTGTGACATTTTGTCCCGCCTGAAATTGATACTAATGAATCAAGTGTTCTGTTTCAGAATAAATGTCTCCTTGGATCAGCTCGATTCTGACAACATTTGAACTGGGGCTTGAAAAGGAAGAGCCTACAACACTCGTTCATCCGTATTGGGATCAGTTGGCAAAGCAAGCAACTCTGTCCACTTTTCTGGACATGGCTGAGAATCGCCATTCAGACTCTATGAAAAAGTACCCTGTCATCAGTGTTCGTGCCAGTGTGCCAATTTCTTGGCACTGCTTAACAGTTTTAAGCAGAAAAGTTGTGCTAACTATAGCGTGGATGTGCTAACGGGTTGAGCACGTATAGAGATTTCTATTGTTAGGTCACTGATTTCCTCTGAGGTAAGAGTGCCTTTTGCGGTGCTTACTGCTTACGGTCTCCAAGAAATAGATGGAGATTCTGTTAGCAGGAGGTGGTGTGCTTAGCAGCGCCATGGAATTTGGCCCAGCACAGATGCAAAGACACTACAGGCTTGTGCCTAGGTAGTTTGTTTATATTCAGTAAAAAAAAATCTACCAGTCTGCCTCACGTAAGCTTCTGTGAGTGGTCAGAGGATGTCATCTCCCGTTCATGCATGGCATCCATTGGTGTACATCACTTTGACAGTGGGGAAGGGGAAGGGGGAGGGGGGGGGGAGGGGAAGGGGGAGGGGGAGAAGGGGAAGGGGGAGGGGGGCAGGGGGAGGTGAAAATATCAGATAAATTCTCACCAGAGAAGGTTCCAGAGAAGACGCCAGGTGAGTGTTGATGGACACTATCGATGCAGGCACCGGGCCGCGGCCAAGTCGGCGACGAGGGGGTTGGAGATGACGTCGACGATGATGGCGTCGTCGGCGAGGACATCGTCGACCGGCTGTGACCACAGGATGATGATGAGGGCGGTATATTGCTCGGGTACTGCTGTGGGGGTCTACCAGGCAAAGAGGGCGCCACACATGCTGTCTTGCCGTGGAGTGGGCACTGCGATTGTGGGCATGGCTAAAGGACAACAGGGAAACAATATGGACATCAATGTTTGACCATTTTGACAAAAAAAACTGATGTGTAATCATATCATCTATCCTTTTCTTTAGTCTCTTTTTAAAAAAAAAGTACTGCTTTTTTCGGGTAATTGCAAATGTTCCTACGTGCTAGCGCCTTTAACCTTTCCAATTAATGCATTGGTTTTCTATGGTTTTCTTAAAACTCCTTAGATCTACAAAAAAATATATCTCAAACAGGTGTGCATCAAGAGATTCCCATGTTTGACAGATTAAGGCTCCACCCACCGGCTGGTAGTTTTGGCTGACAGGTGGTGATTGGCAGCTGGATGCTGTGGGCGTGGCCTGATGGCGAGTGACAACAGGCTTTGGTCGACCGGGCGTAGCCGCCTTGTGGCAGTTGAGAAAGCTGTGCTGGCCTGGGGTGCCAGCCAACTGGAGCTGGACGAAGACCATGTGGGTTCCCAGGCGGAGGGCAAGGGTCAGTGGTTGCTTGCCGTTGAGAAAATTATCCACCTGTGGAAAATGAGTTTAAAAAAAGGGGAAAAACTTATAACAAAAACCATGATATTTTACTCAAATTCCTTACCCCTTTTCGATAGGAAGTTTTAAAGACATGCCTAAACATGGGAAATGTGCAACCTATCATTTGTTTTTATTCCTCCATGCATATACACAGCGGGGAAAAAGAAAAGCAAAGCAGAAAGAAAAACATTTCATTTGGAAATGATTGTTAAATCAGGTAAACATTTTTTTCCCTGCAACCCCCTCACCAAGAAGGTAATTAGCCATTAGCCAGTAGGGAAACTTTTCATCAGGAAAACAAATTATTGATTCGATCAAAATCTGTAATGTCGGCGTCGGTTGACTCGGTTCATTTATAGCGGCAGATAACGCGTCCTGCACGCAGAGAAGAGCCCCAACCCAAATATCTCCAAGCTCGATCTAAATGTCAACCAAAGGTCGTCTAGATGACTGCCATATAGATAACAGTTTGTCCCCCGTACGAGTCACGCACGTGAAACGCGATTAAAAGAGGCTATACGGACCCAGCGCATATCTGGTCGATTTAATAATATACGCGGACTCATTACCAGCGGTGTGCACTCTGACATTATAAATGCACGTTGTGGTGCGTTTTATTTCGCCTGCATAAATAAAAAAAAATTGTGTCGTAGGTAGACCGTCCAAAACATTTGACTATATTTGGTGATGCGTTTAAAAACGGCTTATCGCCGATAGGCTAGCGGCATTCCGTGACTGTATTGGGGACAGCGCCTTTTGATGACTGTGCAATGTGACATTAATTAAAACAGCAGCTTTTTATTCCAGACAGAAGGACAAAACAGCGAGTGCATGCCGAAAACCGACTTCTAGGAATTAAATCGATAGTGCATGCCTTAAAAAATGTTACGGGCGAAAACGGCAAAATGACCTGAATATTTCCAAAGACGAGAGTCTAGTTTAGGAGCAATTAATGTCATTTGGGAGGTGTGTGAGTTTGTTTCTGCATTCAATATAGGGGACGTTGAACAATAGAGGACAATTATTAATAAGGTCCACAATTCCCGAAGGTCCACAATTGACGATCGTCTACTCAACATATGGGAGTTCTTCTTAAAAAGTTGCAGTACAAACAAAAGAGGGACAATAGGGGGTCCACGATTGCAGGTACGTAAATACACACTTGTGTGTGAGTGTGTTCCTAGCTCCATTGTGTCTGCATGTATTCCACCCAAATCATTGTAATCACTTTGCAAACGAAAAGTCGACTACGCCCAATGATTGTTTTTCCTTCGCACGAAATGTCAAAGGTTCCTCACCAAACAGCTGACAAGGCAAACCAAAGTTCTCATTAAAAGAAACCAAACAACAACTGCTGCTCGAACAAAATCAACAATGGAGAAACGCCGCCTCGTCACCAAACTCAAATAACTCTGATATATATATATACAAGCAAAGTGGCTTCCATACATGAACACTGATTCACAGTAACAATGACAGAAACTCTGTGCTGGAGGGTGTAAAATTATGTATACTGCATGTTCCCCATATTTGATTTCCATTCGGTACGCGCGCGACTGACAAGTTGCTCATTCATACTACGTCATAGGCGACCTTTTCACCAGATGGCATTAAAAAGTCTCAATGTCATTCCTACACACACGCGTTGGTATGTGCAAAGGGGGGAACAAACCTGAAAATCGATGCACATTTTTTCTTTCTTTTTCAGACCACCTGGGCATTTTAGTAATTAAGCCGATCCACACTGATTGGGGCTACCGTTATTATCTATACATTTTAGACTTTACGGCGTGGCTATAGTTTAATCCTTATTGATATGAATTTAATAACTTTGATAAAAGAGTATAGATTGCTTTGTGACAAACTATACAATGCAAGAGGCGGACAGTTGGACAGGTTCAATACATCTATACTAGGCGCATTCACAATGCTTACGACAGTTCGCTTTTGCCTTTCGCACAATGTAAAAACTCCCAGTCATCGGGTCTAAAAAATATGGTCTGTGCTTAAATTATACCAAGGGAACATTGTGCACGGTGATTCACCGATTAGCAAACACGTCCGCGATTTTACCAAAAAAGGTCAACGCTCGCCATATGGCCGCCCTACGAGAATTGATTCTCCCGGTCTGTTGGCCGAAATTAATCGTTGCTGGGCAGACACGATATGACTGACCGCGTTAACCTGTCAGGGAGTTCTGGTTATATGGGTGACAGCTAAGTTGAAGAAGACTGGTTTAGGGTCATGTAATCAACTGGAAATCTAATCATAAATGTTCATAATGATACACAGTGGGCCGGGTTTAGCACACTCGTTGACATTGAATGGACTAATCTTAGGCCACGGCGAGACTTAAAGCAAGTGTAATTTACAATAATTGACAATCAGTCAGTGAGTCGGTCACGTACAAAAGAGGACAATAGACCATTGTCATGTCATGTCATGTCATGTTGCGGCCATCTTGATTTTGTTCACGTTCAAATCAACGTAACCAAAGTGAGGCTGGAAGGAAAAATAGTCTGGTTCTTATGGCACAAAAACTATCACCATTCAGTACTGTTTTAGATACAGGGAACATGACTGAAATGGTGGCAGCATGATAAATGTCCATAAGCCGACCCCACAATGCCAGCAGAAAGCACTTCACGCGAGAGAAAACGTTTTTGAAATATCGCTTCACGTTCCGAATGTCCTCGCACAACACCGTGGCTACTATAATACGGCGTGGGAGATGAAATTTGCCGAAGGCTAAGTGAAACAATTGCCAAAAACCCGCTAACGAACGTTTTGTCCTTGACCACTTCACAAGAGAAAAATGACCAAGACAAGTGGATGAAAAAAATGCCCCATCCTCACTCCTTCGTCCGCTCTCCTCCTGTTTCTCATCACCGTCCTCTTCAAGACTTCGCTCCTTTACTCAGGAGATCAGTTCATTAACCTGCGCGGAGAAATGATGAGAACGCGGCGAGCAAGATTTTCTCGGAAGAGAAGAGGTGGGGAGAAGGAAAACAAAAATGAAATGGAATATCGTCAGGCCGTGTGGACAGCCTGCTCGCGCGCGCCACGGACCACAGGGGAATGCAATTTGCATCCTCCATCCGCATCAATGAATTCTAGGAGGAATGACGTCACGGAGCGCAGGATGTTAAGCTCTGCCTTGGGCGATGGGGTGACCACGAGGGACAGACAACCACATTTTTTTCTTCTTCTTCTTCTTCGTCTTCTTCTTTTTCTTCGTCTCTCTCTCTCTCTCTCTCTCTCTCTCTTTATCTCTTTTCATTTTGCATCCTAGTTTCGACTACATCCCAATATCATGATAACGAATTGCCTTGTTGTCAAGTATTAAAGACATGCGTAACCGCATCCCCGAAGGATCTGGCGACCACATGCAATCCTTCCGCGTTTACATCAAACAAAACACCCCATTCTCCCTTTCAATTCTGTCCAATCCACACAGGCGAAATGTTCCCATTTACAGTCGAACCCTGATAAGAAGAGCACTGTTAATACATTTTAGGTTCCAAGTCTTTGTTTTTTATTACTGATAATTCAAGGTACCTCTTATAACAAGGTAATTTGTAAAGTCCCAAGGACCTTGTTATAAAGATGTTCCACTGTATATTTAATTAATTTACGGCCTTTAGCTCCTGATACCTTTTAAAACTGACTCCTTTTATTAATGCACAAATTGATGTAGCCCACCCCTCCACCAAGAAAAAAATTGTACAAAATGGCAACGATAAAATCGGAAACGCCCACACTGTAAAATGCCATTCATCTGAAGTGCATTCATCCTTTATTACAGAGACAAAAAAATGGCCTTTTTCTCAATCTCTCTGTTAATCTGTTACAGACTGAGGCAGGAGGAAAAAAGGAGAGGATATATATGTGGAGGAGGCGGAACGATCGATGAATCAGGGAAATGTTCGCATTTGCTGAGAATTCCGAGGGTCTCGTGAACCGCTGCCCTTCTGTCGGCTACCAGGATACCAGCAATGACGTCAAAGGCAGGCTTGAATACCGTATGCCGTCTTTTCATCATGCGATGCATCCGTAAAGCGACACGGATAATATATGCTGATTATAACTTCATTGTTACCAACACATTACACACGACACTTCATTCTGGGGGATCTAGATGCTTACAGAACACATGAAACCGTTTAGACTTTAGATTTATGCTTATTTTTTTTTTATTAATAGGTGCCAAAAGGTTACCCCAATAACATAATACGAACGGGCATACGGGTACTGATTTACAGCTAGTTGGGGCCTTTGAATAAAATAACTTCTTCTTTTTTTTAAAATTGATTCAATGCGGACTGAAGCATTATAAACAACTAAATTCCAAACTGGTTTACGTAATCTACTGATTTATTATGGTGGAAAATCTCTCACAACAAACAGAAAGTAATATTGCCCCGAGTCCAGTGTGTAGATGTACACGCATCTCTGACAGTTGTTATTTACACGTAATTGTTGTATCAATATTCACCTATCTGATTAATTCTCGGAAAATGATGGCATTAAAACGACGCCGAATAAATACTAACAATGCGATCTTTGGAGTTAACCTTTTTTACTCATTAGCTATTCTATCAACTGTTTGGATATACTAATGAAGATCTACTGGTGAACCGCTGACAGAAATGTATATCATATTATGGACTGGGAGGTATGGCCGAATGGCACGGACTACGCACGCGCACAAAACGCTCTCTCAATTATACGGGAGATCATTTGAAAATAAACCGGTGTTCGAAGCGGGGAGAGAGCCATTAAATATCTGTGTGGAGTTACACACCCGCCCACACACACATCCCCCAGGAGAGGCGGCAAGAAGAATCCCATTCATGAAAAACTTCGCCCGCTTCCCGCGTCGAAGCTTCCCGCGCGCGCGCGCCTCCAAACCCGCGGCAAGACATAATGTCAGGCGATGGTTGTCCAAGGACTACAAGCATTGAGCACCGGAAGATGCTGCGAAGAAGGAA